CCTTGTAGGCTGAAACTCTGTCAGCCTGCAAGGGGAAACCTACCGTTTCCCACATTTTTCTCCTTTAAAGGAGCAAATCCATTTTTCCATGGTAAATGGAAAACCCAGATCCCTGGTTATCAGTTAGGAAGGATCTAAAACAAAACAAAAACAAACCAACAAATCGTCTAATGTCTCGAAGAAAAAAAAGTCAGCAGAAAAAGATGATACCCAGACCTGGATGACGCAGAAGATCAGAAGTGTTGTTAATTGTGATAGGAAAAAAAGGAAATTATGGAAGAAATAAGAATTCAATTTTGGCCATACTAAACTTAAAATCAAGGCAAGACATCCTTCTGATATGATTTTCTGTGATTTAGTAAAAGGAGGTGCCAAGAGATTGATTCTGAGTCTCTTGTATAATGATTATACTTGACTTAATTTGCTGGTGCAGCTTTCACATGGAAAAAGTAGTAAGCAGGTGGGGGAAAGGATGAGATACAGACTTTATTGTTTGTGGGGGTGGGGGGGTTGTTTTTTACTTATAATTTATTGTCTGTTTTAGAATAAAGGTGGGGTTAAAAAAAACTAATCAGTTAAAAGCAACCAATTAAAAGCACAGAACCCCATTATGGAGCTAGTTAGGGAAAAAATAAAAACCACCAAAGAACAACTCATTCAGCCATGGGGCACAGTAGATCCTGGGTTGTTGCCCTTTACTTCAAAAAGTGATCTTCACCTTAAAAAAGCTGGAGACCACTGGGCAAGACAAATGTGTCTTCCTAGCTTTAAATTAAAGGTGCAAATACCATATAGGCACTCTGTTTCTAAAAAACAGATTAAGAAAATCCTTTTAAATTTTAACATAATTTTAAGAACAGCGCAAAAATCTTTAACAGAAGTAAATGTATTCTATTAGTCTTATAAATAGTTAGCATTCACTAAATTTCTATAAGCAACTTAACCTGTGTTTGAGCTTAACAGAATTTAGCCCTGTAAAAACAGTCTATGGTACTATTGCCTCATGCCCCATGAGTCTCTTAAGTTAAAGCAGTCACAGAAATGACTCTCCATTCAGAGAGAAGCACCCAATTCCTTTCTGTTAGTGACAGCTGAACAGACTTGCTACAAATGCCCTCTATAATACAGATCAGACATATGACAAATGGAAAGGGATTTGGTAAACAGTTAGCATGACCTGTCTGTCTGCTAATAAAGACGTTCAGAGGATGTGGAAACCCAAATATGCACCCATAGACATTCTAATGTACTCCTTATGGCAGTAAATTGATTGAATGCCAGGACTAATATCTTCTAACACCCTGGTCTTTGATCAGAGCTTTGTCTCCAACTTAAGACCCAATCGTCAGGCGCTGCCAAAAGAGTGTTACAACAGACTTACACAAGTTGCAAGTATCTGAGCTTGACAAAGTAGTAAAAAAAGCTTTTTAAAATTGTGACTTTGGTAACACTGGCAAGTCAGGTGGGACAGATGAAACTGCCTTTCTGAAGACCTGAAGTGCCAAGCAAACCACAACTCCAGGAAGTTGCCAAAAGGTAATGAAACCAGTAAAGTAATTTTGCAAAATATCCCCTAACAACTGAAGACAATAAGGGAAATTAACTATACTAAATATCTGCAGTATCTAATCTATAGAAAGTGTGAGGAGTACTACAAATGTAACTGCTGGCAAGTACTACGGCTGAGAGAGAGATACAGAGAAAATATTTTACATAAAAAGCAGAATTTTCCGCACGTGAGATGGATCACAGTAGAACTGCAGAAAAAGGTCATTTTCCTTAAGTTTTTAAATATTGAGAAGCAAGAAGAGTTAGATCAGCAATTGTCTATATTACTGAAGCTTTAATATATATATGTACCTAAAAAACCGTGCACCTCACTTCTACA